TCAGGGTGATACTAGCCTGATAGAATGAGTGGAAGGGTTCCCTCCTTTTCGATTTCAGGGAATAATTTGAGGAGTATTGGGTGTTAATTCTTCTTTGAAGTTCTTATAGAACTTGGTTGAGAATCCATCTGGTTCTGGGCTTTCCTTGGTTTGTAGGCTTTTGATATCATCTTCTATTTTATTGCTTGAAATTGATCTGTTTAAATTGTGTGCCCTCTTGATTCAGTTTGGGTAGAACATATGTCTGTGGAAATTTGTCAATGTCTTCCTGATTTTCTACTGTATTTGAGTATAAATTTTCAAAACAGCTTCTAATTATCTTCTGTGTTTCAGTAGTGTTGTTCTTGAAATTTCCCTTTTCATCATAAATTTTAGTAATTTGAGTTTTCTCTCTCTTTATCTTCATTTGTGTATCTAAGAGTTTATCGGTTTTATTTGTTTTTTTTCAAAGAACCAACTTTTTGTTTTGTCAATTTTTTCAACTGTTTCTTTTTTTTTCATTGATTTCAGTTCTGTTTTTAATTATTTCCTGTCTTCTACTGCTTTGATATTGATTTGTTCTTCTTTTTCTAAGGCTTTGAGATGTAATGTTAGGTCATTTATTTGTTGACTTTTTATTCTTTTAATATATGAGCTGAATGCTGGGATCTTCCCTCTTATCACTGTGTTTATAGTGTCCCGGAGATTTTGATATGTTGTATTGGTGTTCTCATAAACCTCTAAATTTTTAAAAAAATCTTCTCCATCATTTCTTCTGCTATAAATTTATCATTCACTAACATGCTATTTACTATCCAGGTGTTGGAGTAGCTTCCATGTTTTATCATTGATTTCTAATTTTATTCCATTCTGATAGAAGGCAGGGAGGTATTTCTATTGTTTTTTATTTGCTGAGGGTTGCTTTGTTGCATAACATATGGTCTATTTTAGAAAAGGGTCCCTGTGCTGCTGAGAAGAAAGTGTATTTGCTTATTGATGGATAAAATATCTGTATATGTCCATTCAGTTTAAATCATTGATTAAATTATTTAGTTCTATATTTTTTTTCTTTTTTTGTTTGGAACATCTATCCAGTGGTGATACAGCTGTGTTAAAGTCACCCAGTATTATTGTGTTATGGTGTATTTGATTCTTGAAATTGAATAGGCTTTGTTTGATAAATGTAGATGCTCCATTCTTTAAGCATATATATTCAGAATTGTTATGTCTTGTTGATGTGTGATTCCCTTAAGCAGTATAAGATACACTTCTTTATCCCTTATGGCTAACTTTGGTTTGATGTCCACCTTGTCTGATACGAGCATGGGAACCTCTTATTGTGTTCGCAGTCCATGCGAGGGATATGTTGTTTCTCAACATCTCACCTCCAATCTGTGGATGTCTTTTCCTAGGAGATGAGTCTCTTGAAGACAACATATTATTGTATCTTTTTTAAAAAAATTCTATATGCCAGTCTTTGTCTCTTGATTGATGAGTTCAGGATATTAACATTCAGGGTTAGTATTGAGATATGATTTATGTTTCTAGTCATTTTGGTTCATTTTTGGTTTTTAACTTGACTTTGTTTCTTCTTATATTGACCTATCCTTTAATGTAGTTCTTCTCTTTCCTCCTCCTCCTCCTCCTCCTCCTCCTCCTCCTCCTCCTCCTTCTTCTTCTTCTTCGTTTCCTCCTCATAAAATATTTTGCTGAAAACCCAATGTGAAGTTTTGTCACTTGAGATGGAGTGAGCCCTATTCTTGCTCCCCCAACTCCCTGTTTGTGTCTGCCTAACTATCTACTTTAATATGATTTGTAAGATAACTTAATCTTAGATTCAAAGAGAAGTATGACTCAAAGTAGTATGCCAAGAGAAGGGCACTTATGGGAAAACAAGTCACTTTGATACTGAGAGCTCTGTCCTTGTTCCTGATGCTTATCCAATAATAAGGAAAATGTTTTCATAAAAAGGAAAAAGAACTTATATTGTTAGGCTAGATACACAAGACAAGGATTTTAGAGGGGGAACATAAAGACTACACCCCAGCTTTGCCCTTTCAGGAGTCAAAATTCGTTTGTAACCTTGAGAGGTAGCCACTTCTTAGATCCTCTAGTGCTAGCCCTGAAGACTGGATTCCTTCATTGCTGGTGGCCTGTGAGCCAAAGTACAGAAAACTCAGCTTTGGATAGGAAGAAGGTTAATTTTTCTTCCTCTGTGGTTAGGGAAGGATAGAGAAAAAAGAGGAAGGGAAAAAGCATTACTTTCAAAGTAAGCTGCGGTGGCAGAGCAGCATGAAATGGAATACTATGACATTTAGCTGAATGGATCCTTAAGAGAATAGATGTGAGATGTGATAGTTTTGTGAAAATGTCTGTGGTGTGAGTTATTCTTCCCTAATTATTCCTAAGGGGAGGGATTTATGACAACTGAGTTCTTTTTGGAGCTCTGCTTTTAGACACATCAAGGATTTTTGGAATTTGATCACCTTAAACACAAAATAATAATTTCTCCCAAACTTACCCTTTCTGGACTCGGGACTAAAGGCCCTCTGAGCTTCTCTGGGATGTATCTAATGAACTCTAAACCATCTAAACAAATATAGCTCTGTCCAAATGTTTAAAACCATTGAGAATAAGAGAGGTACCTGTTAATTAGAATGCTTTATTGGAAGGAGAAAGCTAGAAAGATAGAAGTGACAAGAATGTGTCTTTATTTACAGTTGTCACTGTAAATTGAGACAATGCTTGAATGAGGTAGGGGGAGTTATGATCATTATTGGAGAGAAGGTAAAGGGTTGGGAAATTACTGACAAAGAACTTCCATGTAGGTTTTAAATTATCATTATTGTCAAGATGTTAAACTTTAAAATTGTGTGTGACAGTGTAAATCCTACAATGCAGCTCTGAAAACACATACCTTGGTGTTCACAGATTGCCCAATCACTTGTATATTTTTCCTTAGGAAATAAAAGGTCACAAAAACAATGAGAGATTTCTTTGTGTTATAGCTTGCTTCAACTTTATGGAATTCTCACTGTCTTTGATGTTTCAAGGAGAGGTACCTCAGTTAATGAGCAAAGCAAAATGTACCTTTCACCTCAACTCCCGCTGGTTCACAGAATATTTGTGACAGTTCAAACAGTCAGTGCTGAGGCCCTTTTGGATATAAGCACTGTGGGGCAGCGACACTGGGAAGTTCACACTGATGACAGTTGTGAAATCATAGGATTGACCTCTGTGGAAATCATTACCTGAGAACAAAGTAACTGTCAGCTTGGATCTTGCACTGATACTATTTTGTTTGTGCAATACATCTTGACTTACTTACAAATTCTCCATGGGTAAGCCAGGCTCTGTTTTATCAAACCTGTGTAACCCATGGTGGTTCTGCTGTATTTTTTTTCCCTTCTTCTTGCTCTATTTGAATATTCAGTAACCTCCCTCATCCAATTTGTTTGAAACATACTATTCTGGCCTGGACATCCTTAAAAGACATCCCATGTTGGAGTGATGTCTCCAAATTTTAAACTGAGCCTTTTCCAGTTTGTTCTGTGTTTGTATTTGCTTTTCTAATCAGTAAACATTTTTCTTAAGTTTTAAGCACCTGTCATGCTTTCTTATTCTCTGGAGTACTTCATTCTAGATTTTGAATTTCTACTTAAGATACATTGTTCTTCAGTCTGGTTAGGTATTACTAATGAGACCATTACCATTGATATTCTATGAATCAGTCATTCATTAATCGAGTAGAACTTGAATATATTACAGTTGAGGCTATTGGAAAATGCTGGTGTTTAAACATCTCTCAGATGCTGATATGTACTTTACAGAGTGTAACCAGGTGTAAGTGGAACAGTGAGGCTTTAGGAGAATCTGTTAGTTATTTCAAATAACTTTTGTTGTTGTTCTGCTGGTGATGAAACTCCGGGCTCCTACATGCTTAGCACTGGGTCTACTGCTGAGCTGTATCCTCAGGCTAAATTGAAGAAACTTTGATCATCAGATGTGTTGTTTTCCAAAAGAAATAAATGGTTTACAAAACAAATTAAAGGAATTGAGAGATGCCTGAGTCTTCTTTCTTATAGGTCCTGACTAGTGATTGACATCCTTTGTATACTAGACTTTTGTCCAATAATTCTTTTCCTTCATTGATATTGTTCTTATTTTCTGTCTGAAATTTAATCAGTATGCTTCCTTGAGTGTATTCAATGCAGACCTCAATTGAACTTTGTTCAAAATGTAGCAATATATCTGTATATATTTATGCTTACATTGGTACCATGAAACGTGGTCTCAATGCCATCAGGGGATAAACAAGTGGAGGCAAATCTTCATGAGTATAACAGGAAGTATAAGCAAAACTTTTCTGTGCAGTTTCAGTGTGCTTTAAAAATCCATTTATGGAATAGGTGTTGATTGAGCCTTTGCTGTGCATGTGCAATATGGTCTTAGGTGCTGGGGATAACATACAGTTGGGCTAGTTTGTAGATTTATTCCAAGGACCAGAAAGTCTTATTAGGTCAACTTTATGATTGACATTCTGCTGTTGGTCATATTATGAGCTAATGAGGAGAAAAAGGTAGGGCATGATATAAAATGTGGGGAGATGGAGCTAAAGGTATAATTGAAGACATCATTCTTAGAGACAGGAATATATTGCCTGGGTTAGATCCACCAAGATCTTCAGTCAGGAGCGTCATTTTGGATGTCTTTGCTGAATAAGCCAAATTTGTCTTATATTTTTTGGGTGTTATCATAAATTATAATGAAAAGGAAGGTGAAAATATAAATGTATTCACATGTGTATATACATATACAAATGTATATATATATATATATATATATATATATATATATATATATATATATGCACATATATGTATATGCAAAATTTTAGTTGAACCACTGACTTCCTGACTAGTTCATTTTTCAATTTGCACAAAATTTCAATCCAGAGAAGCTGATGGATATGGGCTGTATGCAGGGAGAAAATGACCCACAAAATATATATCCTTTTATAGGTTGTTGGATGTCTTAGCTGAAATGAAGGATCCACGCGGATTATCTGGAGAAGTTTTGGTAAATGGAGCCCCTCGACCAGCCAGTTTCCCACATCATTCAGGTTATGTGGCACAAGTAAGAATTAGTGGATTTGCCTTTTAGCTTCCCCCTATTTCTATATGTGCAAGATCCTTGGCTTGTAGTTTACCATGCTTCCAATTGAATATAAGACATGATTCATGAACCACATTTCTTTATACCAGCTTTTCATAATCTCCTATAAGATTGAGGGTGGAATTAAATTAAAAGACTGAGAGGACCTTGAATATGACCCCTGTAGGGTAGTGGTGTCGTTTCTGGCTGTTGTATTATTCCAAAATTGTCTCTTCTTCTCCCATTTTGCCCTTCTTGCACCTTTCTCCTTCCCCCCAGAAGATGCATTTGTTAAATCTTTATACTAAACAATCTGGAAGTGTCTGGATATAGTGAGAATACTCACTCTTGCTTCGTCTCGGTGTGCAGATAGGGATGAAATGCTTCCTTTAGGCTCTGCAGTTTTCTGTATGTGAAGCTCTGCAATTTGTAGAGCTGAAAGTTTACCATGAGCTATAACTTTACCTTGGCTTTGTTATTTTTATGGACTAAGTTACATTCATTGTAAGGGTGGTCTTAGGAAAAAAACTCACTGTGCCTTAATGAAATACCATTTGCATTCAGAGCAATCCTGTGATGGACACCCTGACGGTGAGAGAAAACTTACAGTTCTCAGCGGCTCTTCAGCTTCCAACTATGACAAATAATGAAAGAAAGGAATGGGTTAACAAGGTCATTCAAGAGTTAGGCCTGAGAACAGTGGCTGATTCCAAGGTAATGTGAAAAAACCCGATAGAGTCAGTCAGGAAAGAGGACCTCCCTGGATCGAAAATATGACCTTAATCAGAAGTTTCCTAGAATGTGTGTACTCACAGCAGTTGTTTTCTGTAATGATGGGGAAAATGACTGGTTCTATAATATGAAGGTGGAAATGAAGCTGGAGAAACAATCTTAATCATGGGTGAATCCCAGGAAGGGATTATGTTCCGGTGTAGAGGGTGCTCCTCACATGGTCATTTCTATGGTCCTCCCACCCTCATTGTTAAGTCAGGCAAATTTGATGTCTTTGCGCTGACTGTTCTTCCCATTTTGTTCTTCCCCCTTTTAGCTGTTTTACTTCCTTTCTTCCTGTGGTAAATTTTGTTCCATTGCTTTATTGAGATATTTTTCTAGAAATGATAAAAGATGAAATTCCAAGGACTTTTGCTATGTCTCCTTATGGGGTAATTTGGCTTCCATAACTATATTTAGTATATTTATTAGTATTTACTTCTAACTTTTGTAGTGATCAAGGTAGTATTCTATAGCTTTTCTTTGGAAGTTTTTTTTTTTTTTTTTTTTCTCTCAAACCCTTCCTTTCTCCATTCTTCCTTTCTTCTATCAATATTTATTTTTAGATTCTTATATGTCAGGATCTTTTAGGACTGGGAAGCAAAATTGTGGACAAGAATAAGAAAAAATGGAGAAAGTAACTTGTATCAACTCCAGCCACTTGACGTCTCTTCCCTGAGCTTAATTTATTCATTTTGTGAAAGAGAAAAATTGTCTTTCTTCCAGGGTTCCATTTAGTTACTGTTCAGAAGAATTAAGATAACAAGATTAAGTATTTCTAGTAGGGCTGGCACAGGTTAGTACACTAATGATAGTGACCATGACCATTCTTGCTGATAATGTAATAATCTGTATTTTGGATTATACATTGTGGAGCAAGAAAAAGGACCTGTATATCAATGGAGCTGATTAGTGATCCTTCCATCTTGTTCTTGGATGAACGCACAACTGGTTTATACTCAAGCATAGCAATTTCTGTCCTTTCATTCCTGAAAAGGTAATTTCATTGGGAACAATTTTCTTTAATTTATTTAATATCTGATTACTTCTATGTACCTGATATTCCTGCTGTAGGGAATTCCAACATGAACAGCAAAATTTCATTCTTTGTTAGATGGAAACGGTCAATTAACAAAGAAGTATTATCAATATTATGAAACAAAATATTAGGGAAGGCAAGTCTTGGTGGTGGGTGGAAAGCTGTTTTAAAGAGCCGGGAGGTCAGGGAAGACCACAAGCATGTGACATGAGAGTTGCAGGGACACAGTGAGCAAGAGCTGGTATATATGCAGAAAAATCCTGGTTGGAAGGACCAGCCAGTGACTCTGAGGCAAAGAATGCCTGATTCCTGTGGACCATCAGAAAAACCAGAGGGACAGAAGCCAGTGACCAAAGAGAGTGGAGGTTGGCCACTGTACTGCTATAGCAAGACCACAGGCTGGGGGCTGAGCAACAGAAATCACTTTTCTTTCAACTCCGGATATTGTAACTTTAAATCAAGGTGTCTATAGGATTGTTTACTCTGAGGAAGGAAAATTGGCTTATAGGTGGCCATCTTCTTTCTCTGTTTGTGTCCTAATTTCCTCTTGACTATCAGACGAGGACCCTCGGTGACCTAATTTAACTTTAATGGCCTCTGAGAAGATTTTATCTCCAAATGTAGCCACATTCTGAGGTACTGGCAGTTAGGACTTCAACATTCAGGTTTCAGGAAGCCACAGTTCAGCCCATCACAGTTAGAATATAAGGTGAGGTAGAGGTAGACTGGTGGCAAGTTATATAGATTTCATTGTCCACTGTAAGACATGGCTTTTCCTGTTGCTAGAGAATTTGGGAGTGTCATGAAAGGTCAGAGGAGAGCAATGGCTGTGGGGAAGGCTGTGCAGACAGTCCAGGGTGTGAAGGACACCAGGGAGGAACTCAGGCATGATGGGGCCTGGACCAGGATGCTTATGGTGAGGAGGGGAGAAGAATATAGGTTCTGGATCTGTTTTGAAGGTGGAATAAATAGGATCTGCTCAAAAAGTGAACCTGGGGTGTGAAGATTGGGAGAAAGACTACTGAACAAAAGAATGAAGTAAAAGAAGACAAATAAAATGTCATTTTCTTCAAGAAAGGAGGCTATGGTGTTAACATTTATAGGAAACATTCAAAGTTAAATTTTGCACATCTTATACTGAACAAAAGATTAGTTGAAAATTGACAGAAAAGCTTCAAGAATAGTACTGAGAAATCTCATCTCTATCACCTAAATTCCCCAGCTATTACATTTTAGTACATTTCCTGCTTCTTCCTCCAACTCTGCTCTCTCCTCCTATAACTTTTCTGACATCATGCCCCACCCCCTAAGCACCTCCAAGGGCAAGTCCAAGAGGCAAGGACCTGCTACAATGCCATTTCCCAAGAAGGAAGTCAACAATTATGGCTTTACCACTGTGCAGTCCCTGGATTTCAGTCAGATGTCACCAGGTCTCCTTTTTTTTTTTCTTTTGCCTCTGTACCCTTTATAGAAATATGCCATTTTTTTCTTTTTTTCATTTTTTCTAATCTTGGAGAGTTCCTCAGTCTCCCTGTCTGTCATGTCCTTTGAATTCTTAGCTAGTTGAAGGGGTGATCCTGGCCTGGGGCCATACCTGTGTTCTACCTGCAGATTCAGACTATGAAATGAGGTACTTGAGGCTTCACCCACCTCTAATGATGAGAACCACCATCAGCTGATCATGGTGGTGGCTGCTGGGCTTCTCTGCTGGGAAATTATTATTTCTTTCCTGTGTAGTTGATTACTGTTCTGTTGGGAATATAGTCAATTTTTATGTCAACATTCTGTCCTTATCAAATCTCTCCCCCAACAGTTTTAGCACACACAAATAATGCTTGCCCTTGTCCTAGTTGATATTCTTCAGAAGGAAGAGGTTTCTCTCCTTCATTATTCATTCCCCATTGGACTCAATATATTAAATCTGGTGTTCACTGTTTTGATGACCAAACTTATCCTGATTTGACCAGTGGAAGCCTCTTTAATGTGGCTTTGCTTTGCTTTTGACATCTTCTAAATCATTCTAGCAGTTCTTTACTTTATGGTCACTATAATGTTCTAGGTTCATCATGTACTTTTCCTGTGTGAGCTGTTTTTTATAGGGGCCCTGGTTCCATCTGCTGTAGTTAATATTTAGAAACTAAGATATGTTTTTTTAGTGATCTCACTGCTAGTTATGGGACATTGCTTCTAGACCTTTAGTAGACAGACCTAGGAAATACACAATATGAATGTGTATGTTTACACATATATGTACATATATAAATATACTCCTGTGTTTTTTTGGAAAATACAATAAGTATAATACCTTTTATGATTTTATAAGGTTTTTTGTGTATGTGTATGCATATGTGTGCAAGAAGTGCAAGAATCAGATATTTAATGGCTAATAGTTTTCCTTTTTTAACTTAGCATTTCTGAGCAGGGAAGAACAATCATCTTCACCATTCATCAGCCTCGCTATTCCATTTTCAAGCTGTTTGACAGCCTCACCTTATTGGCCTCAGGAAAACTAATGTACCATGGTCCTGCACAGGAGGCTTTGGAGTACTTCAAATTAGCAGGTATGGTGACATTTTCATGCACTAGATCCTTCTTTCATAGACTCCTGGAAAGAGCAGAGGGGTAAGCAGGAGTGCTGCTTGATCTCTGTGTAGACATACCTTGGGTTCCACCACTGTAAAGCTTCCTCAGTCAGTTTGGTGCTAAATTTTGGGCACCCAAATTTTGCTTCATTTTGTAGCACTTGCTTGTTCTGTAGGTATTTCTCCTTTTTTGTATTTGAGTGTGTGTGTGTGTGTGTGTGTGTGTGTGTGTTTGTGCATGTGAGTGTTTCTACTAAACTTTTGTTCTGCTTCACAGTTATAGTGATCTTTCCCTAAAAGGTCTATGATTAACTGGTTTGACCAACAGCCAGTTATTCCATAAATTGAATATTTATGGAAAGGCCCAACATTATATTCTTCTTGACCATATAGCAGATTGTGGTTTTTCAGCTTTGCTTCTGACATATGATCATGCTCTGCTTTCATGAGGGCTCATTGACATGTTACTTTATTTTCTAGTAAGATTAGATTGCAGATTTAGGCCCTGAATGTATTTGAGTGACCTGCTAGTCATTAGAGTGGCTGGTTCTAAATATTACTTTGATGCACCAAAATTTCTGGCCTACCTGGTTCTTTGTATTTCAGGTTGAATTATGTGATTTTTTTAACGGCTTGTGTGATCTACTTTATTTTAGAGATTTGGATATGATTATAGATATTTCTCTATGATCCCAAATGCAGTTTAAATATTCACTAGATAGTTTTCTTAATTTTTATTTAATGTCTATCATTTAAAAATGATGAAGCATTCTTGAGTCTGTGGAATCCAGAGTAGATGAGCTTAGGAGTCAGACCTTAGACCAAGTTTAGATGATTGTGCCACAAGAATTTGAGATAAGAGTCCAAGTGTGCTATGCTGGTCACCTTCTCTTCATAATGCTGCTTTGGAGATTTGCCATCTATTTGGAATTATGGCAGTTTGAGAGGTGCTCATTTGGACCTCTGTATTAAATGGCAGAGAAACAATCATTGATGACATGCATAGCATCATTACAGGATTTTCCAGGTGAACTGAGCATAGTGAACCCAGGAATTTAATATTTTTTCCTTGAACCTAGCTTTAGATTTATGAAGAAGTCCTGATAAGCACCAGGGCATTTTAATGGTTCTTTGGTTTCATGATTTATGATAAATAAGGACTAATGTCAAATGTTCTGAAGAGTCAAATTAGCGGAGAGATGAGTAAGAAGATGAAGGAGAATTTGTTAGATTCTACTTTTTTCTAGTTCACCTCCATCACTCTCAGGAGGTGATCCTAGTTTGTTCCCAAGACCATCAGGTTGTGTTCTTTGGTTTTCTTTCATAGGCTACCAGTGTGAGCCCTACAACAACCCTGGATACTTCTTTGTGGATGTGCTTACGAGAGACTTCTCTGCTGTGGTATTAAATAGAAAGGAAGAAGACAGTGAAGGTATGTGAGTCTCCTAAAATCTCCTAGATTCTCTTAAATTTTTGCCTGATTTGGTGAAAGCTTAGAAATCTACTGGTTCATTAAACATTGCTTTTGAATACACATTAATGTTTTGTTCTGATACAAGTCAACAAACAGACTTTGTTTCCATTAGTGCTGTATTTTTTATCTAAATTATTAATGTATATTTATATGATACTGTGAGTTGTAAAGTATGTTTCCATTAAAAATAAATATGCTTTTAAAATAAGAAATTTGGCAACTAATACATTTGCACATAGTAGAAAGCAAGGACCAGATTTTATATTAAGAATCATAACTGTGGTAAGATTTCTGTATTAAGAACTAGAGTCCCAATTGTTAGGAAGATGTCAGTTTTCTGTATCCATAAGATACAGAAGTCAGGTCAATTAAGCATATTTTCTAAAGTGTGAAGCAATGGCAACAATTGTGATTTTTCTATATTCAAGCTTTAGAATTAAGGTGTTATCCAAGAAATGGGTCACAGAAAAATAGGTTAAATCAGCTGTTATCTGTTAATAACACTTCCCTTCTTTATCCCTTTTATTCCAAAGCTAATGGGGTCAAACAGATTTCCAAGAGAGAAAAGCCAGTTGTAGACACATTAGCTGAATTTTATGCCAACTCCTCTTTCTACAGAAACACAAAAGCTATATTACAGGAGCTCTCAGATGGACAGAAGAGGAACTCAGGCTTTAAGGAGATCACTCACGTCACCTCGTTCTGCTATCAGTTCAGATGGATTCTCTGGCGTGCATTCAAAAACCTTATAGGTTTCCCCAGGGTCACTATTCCTCAGGTAACCTACCAGACTCTGCTGCTCTTTTATACTAATGTGGGAACAATTTGGTTCTGATATAGTCTCTATCAGGATTATGTGTATCTTCTATGTACCATTCCAATTACTTGTCATCCCCACTCCATTTGATATATAAAAATTGTCAGTAGAACAAGTAAAACATAAGTTTTTACATATAGATAGCTGTTTTTGTTGTTTTCTTTGGTTTTTGTTTTTGCAGTACTGGGGATTGGACCCATGGTTGCTCTACCACTGAGCTGTATTCCAGTCCTTTACATTTAAAAAAAAAATTGATACAGGATCTCACTAAAATTTTGAGTCTGGCCTTGAACTTGTGATCTTCCAGCTTCAATCTCCCTAGTTGCTGGGATTACAGGTGTGCACCACCAGACCTAACAAGGCTATTTATTCTCTCATTACCTCTCTTAACTAAGATGAGAAGATACTCCTTTTTTCTTTTTTTTTGGCTCTAGTGTGATTGTTGATTATCACTCTTGAAGGTTTTGTTGTTATTGTTGTTTCTACTTTTAATCTCTGTCTCACAAAAAACACTAGTTCTTCCAGACATTGGTTCATCATTTACATAAGGAAATCAATGTTACTAGTTTTGGGGGGGTTACTATTTTTATTATCATTCATGATGTTTCTGTTGAGTGCTGAAAGATATTATGTGGTTGGTTCTAAGAAATACTGCTGGCTACTTGTGCACCATAATTGTCATATAGAAATATTATCACTTTCCAACTATATCTGAGGGTCTAGATGACTTTTGAATTATACTGTCAATTTTTCCAAATGTTTTGATCCTTGTGATTTGGCATTTCTGTCGGAACATGAACACTTTCATGTCCTGTCAGTCAAGGAAAAAGTTTTCTTTTTTGAGAATAGATTTGATGTCATTTGGGGCATGTTAGGTATATTAGATCTATCAACCTGAGTTACCAATTTTCAAACAGTGATGTGATATAATGAGTTGATTCTTCCCTGTGATTTGGGCTTTTCTTTGAATTACTTACCTCTAAATTGGTTTATAAGTGTCTTGTCCAAAACACATATATGGTAGCTAGTTTGGGCAGGCATGATAAGAGCATAGCTATATGCAATGTACCTGAATTATGTAAATTGTGCTTTGTTTTGGTCCTAGGCTTCTTGTTTTTTTTTTTTTTTTTTTTGTTTTTTATTGTTGTTGTTGTTGTTGTTGTTGTTTTTTCTGTGTGTGTGTGTTTGTGTGTGTTGTGTGTGTGTGTGTGGGGGTGGGGGGTGGGTGCAGCACCATTTCCTGGGCTTCCTTAAGGTGCAAGCAGCAGGCCTAGAGCCTCCAGTTTGCATGTTCAGCCCATTTGCCTCATCAGTAAACTCTGTTCCACAAAGGCAATTCCAGCAAGGTTCAGAGAACAGTAGTTTCTAGAATAAGAGTTGAAACTTGTAGCTCCCAAGCTTAGTGGGACAACTTTTGTTAAGTTTGTTAAATACTGGAGTTTGGTGTAGGAGTAGGAAAACTCTTTTAGTCAAGAGATAGATGGTAAATATTTTAGACTTTGCAGACCAACATGGTCTTTATCTCAGCTAGATAACCCTGTCATTTAATGTGAAAACAGCATAAGCAAATGAACCTGGCTGTGTTCTGATAAAACTTTATTCATAAACATTGAATATGTAGTAAATTTCATATAGCGAGAAATATTATTCTTCACCTATTTTTTTTTTGCCAACTCTTTAAAAACATAAAAAAACATTCTAACCTTTGCTCAGAGCAAAAATAGGTACTGACCCTATTATGGCCTCTAGGCTGCAGTTTATTGGCCTAGGGTTTTTAAACTTCTATGTTTTTTTTTTTTTTTTTTAGGTTCCTAAGTTTTGAACATGGAGTTATGAAAATGTTTTTCTGATTCTCTGCTTATAATATCTTGTGTCTTTCTCTCAGAACCCTAGTTTGATTTGAACTAGTTACATACATGATTCAGACTTGCTTTGTAACCAGAAGTTGCATTTATTTGGAACATCTTGGAATGAACTGATTATCTGTATAAGAAGATTTAGAGTTCATTTAATGTGCCAAGGATTTTCTGATCTAATCAATTTGAAGGACTTTATTATTAATTTTTGAGACAGTCATTTTTTCCGTTAGAATATTAAGCATTTTGTTTATTAGTGAAAACAAAAAAAACATCTCTCAGAACACACCTTGAGAAATGTTGGTTAAACACATTTAATCCAAAAAAAAATAAACTTTGTTCAGGAATCTATTTTTTATCCTTCTGTTAAAAACAGAAGCCACATATATAAAGCTCATAGAGTATCCTTTGCACGATTTTGCAATATTTAGTTTGCCTACTGGTTTGCTTTCTCTTCATGCAAGAAAGATTACACATGGAGACCTCGTAAAAGTACAACATGATTACAGTATTCAGAGTTTTGTCAATGTGTTTGAAAATGACTAAAATATAGTTTAAAAGCTTTGAAACTTGTAAGAAACATTCCAGTAATAACATTCTGTATAAAATGCCATGTCTGAATGCTAAGAAACAAAGAATGCATAGTCTAGTTTGAAATACTAAATATTCTAAAGTATACCATATGAAAATACAGCCTCTTATATACATGTTCATGCTGCATGTTGGCAGAGCCATCGACATTGATTTGGAAGATTGATCTGCTGACATGAAAGAGAGTATATTCTGAAAGTAATGAAGATATGCAGAATGGAGTTTTCCTCAGGATTTCTCTATTATTAGCAAAGGGATATTTACAGACATCTTGCAAAGAAAATATTTAAATAATATTCTTCTAGAATGTGGTCTTCACAAACCAATCTTTTCTGATTATGAGTCCATTTTTCTACTTTGGCTTGCTTCTTATCTAGAATGTCTGTTACAGGACACTTTATGACTTGAAACTATTGTAATATTAAGATTTTCTTTTCAGGTTTGAAGTTTTCAAGATAAATAGTGGGATATTTTGTTTTCTTTAGACTAAAATTTTCTATATTTTTATAATTTTACCATGAATAATAATAATTATAATTATTTCAATAAATTCTATTATAACTGTTCATCAGCTTTTCATCACGGTGACTGAAATAACTGACAAGAATAAATTAGAGGAGAAAAGTTATTGTGGGCTTAGTTTTAGAGGTTCAGTACATTTTCAGCCAATTCCATTATTTGGGGGCCCAAAATGAAGCAGCATATTGTAGTGGGAGGGCATAGTGGAGGAAAGCTACTCAGCCATTGGTGGCTGGGAAGTGGGGGGCAGGGGTGGAGCCAGGAACAAGATATAATCCCAAGAGCTTGTCTCTAGTCATTCCCACCTGCCTATAAATTATTAATCCATCAAGTTGATCAAACCACTGATGAAGTTCCATCTCTCATAAACCAATCTTTTTACCTCTAACCATTCCTGTATTAGGAAATACCACATTGGATACGTTACCCTTAAGCCTTTTCTAATTGAGGCATACTTTTAAGACTTTTTATCATAAAAACAAAAGCGATGGCTCCTTGGGAGCCATTCACAAAGACAGAATAGGTGAAGGTTGGTGAGGCCTGGGGGGCGGGGATGGGCCCATCAGTTGGGACATGTTGACTGTAGGCCTCAATGGCTGAGGTTGAAGGCAAGCAGTGATGGAGGAGGTAATAATGGAAGTACTTAGGTGCCCCCAGAGAGAGCTGGCTGAGTGATTTGGTGACAGTGAAAATGTACTTTCTCATACAAATGGGGTCTTACCAGAGGTGAAGTGGAAGGATTCTGTTCACCCTTCTTCCTTTTTTGTACAAAATTCCATTGCTAGAAATTGTTTGTATATGATTTTAAAATTTTATGACTTGTTAATTTTATGGTGCTGGGAATGAAATCCATTGTCTTATGCATGCTAGGCAAGCACTGTAGTCCTGAGCTACACTCCTAGCCTTGAAATTTAATTTATTTCTAATCATCAGAGTAAAGATGTCCTGTTTTCATCTGAACTTCTTAAAGCATGAAATTATGCATGTTCATGGACACAAAAATTGAGAATTCATTTAAGTATAAAATTTTATCTACTTGGACTTTAGTGTTTTTTTTTTTTTTTTTTTTCCTAAAAATGACTTCCCTAGCGTGTGCTTGACTCTTTTACCCTGTACGCCATTTGTGGGTTCAGGACCTCAACTGTCCCTAATCCAGGAAAGCTTGTTAGACCCTGACAGAAATCTTAGTTTGTCCAATCATCTTCTCTGTTGTCTCATCAGTTTTCCAAATAACAGATACTTTTAAATTTATTTAGAAAGTAGTCTAATAATGTACGTTGTTTATTTTCCCAGGGACTCTGGCCAAGTCATTTAAAGTGTTGATTTCAATGGAGAGATTTGATTATGTAGCCATATATCTTTTAATAATAATTGATGTGTGAAATTGAAACTCAAATTGAAATTCTTTCCTTTTTATTTTCATTTTTCGTTTTGATAAGATGTTTGCCACATTCATTCTGGGACTGGTTGGAGGTGCCACTTTCCTTATGCTAAAAGATGATTGTACTGAAGTCCAGAATAGGTAAGTAAATATAGATATCAATTTGAGAAAATGCTGTTACTGTTTTCAAGCTTATGAACATCCTTTAAATATTTGAATTTATGGTAAATAAATGGCACTGTTTTATTGTGGATAGGATGAGTTAGTGCATTAAAGACTGAATGCAAGAGTTATTTTTTATAGATGTATGCATGTATGTATGAAGTAGTGAACTAAACAATTAAAATTTTATACCCTTTTCATCTTTCTGAAGTTGATAGTTGGGTAGTATCAAATATATTCCCATTTTGCAGCTACCACCACCATCCAACTCCAGAGTATTGTCTTCATTTTCCCAAATGGAATCTCCATAAATCAGTAATTCCCAAAATTCACTTCTTCCTGATACTATTCTATTCTGTGTCTCTGAATTTGACTAAGAATCTTATTATATATTGTACTCCTGTAATATTTGTCTTTTGATGATTGACCTATTTCCCTTAGCATAATATCTTCAAGATTCCTCCAAGTTGTAGCATGTATTGGGATTTTTTTTTCTTTTTAAGGCTAAATAATGGTCCATTGTAGTATCTATATACTTCATTTTGTTTATCTATTCATCAGTTCATGCAAATTTGAGTTGTTTCCAACTTTTAGCTATTATGAATAATGTTGCTATGGGTTTATAAATATCTCTTTGAGTCCCTATTTTCAGTTCTTTGTGATAGATACTCAGAAATACAATGGCTGGGCCACATGGTAATTCTGCTAATTTTTTGAGGCTCTGCCTTCTGTCTTTCTCTGTGCTGCACCATTTTACATTCTTATCAGTAGCAAACAAGGGTTCCAATTTCACCATGTTCTTACCAAAAGTTGTTAATTTTTCCTTTTGTAAATGATACATATCTGCTGGATTTTTGGTAAAATGTCCTTTGTTCATTTTAAAATTGAATTAATTCCTTTTTGAATATGTGATTTGCAAATATTTTCTCCCATTGTGTAGGTTCTCTTTTACCTTTTTTATAGTGCATTCGGTACACAAATATTTTTAAATTCGATGTAGTCTTGTTTGTTTACATTTGTTACATGTGAGCCAATTTCCTTCATGGTTTTATAATTCATTTGATTTGGGAGTGTAGGTTAGATTGGTAGGAATAAGCTTTTCCTATCTTTTTTATTATTTTTCTGTTTTATAACACTTATCTTAGTGTTGTGCTCATTATCTAGTTTAATTACAATGTGCCTTCAAAAATATCATTTTAGGATGAGACATTTTAGTGCCTGTGTCATGTTCATAGCATAGGTGCTTAGCAACACCACAGAACTCAGGGTTCTCATCATAATTCATGTATGCGAACCACTTCTTCCTAGACACTAGACTCCATGCTTGATATTCACAACTTTAAGTACCTTAGGTACCCCTCCCAAGAGCCAGAGTGGTACATGGTCTTATCCCCATTTTACTACTGAGGACACATGAGAAAGGTTATATCAAGTCTTTTTTGATGTCTATTAAAGGCTGATTATTTTTGAAAGAAAGAATAAATATAAAAGTCAATTCTCTTTTTTTCTTTCCTCTCCCCAGCCCCCTCCTCTTTCTTTTCCTCCTCCTCCTCCTCCTCCTCCTCCTCCTCCTCCTCCACTAGGGACTAAATCCACAGGTACTCTACTACTGAGTAGAACTACACGCCCAGAACTATTTTTTTTTTTTGAGAAAGGTTCACTATAATTCCTAAGCTGGTCTCAAACTTGTTGTCCTCCAGCCTCAGTCTCCCCAGTAGCTGGGATTGCATATGTGCATCATTGCACCTGGCTAAACATCATGCAAAAATAAGTTTTTCCTCATGCAAAAATAAGTTTTCATGTGTGTGGAATCAGGTAGTGTTTCTCTACAATATGAATATACAGAGATTTTTTTCCCAAGTTATATCATAATTTTACCATCCCTAGAGGCTTAGATCCCTGGGTCATTTCCAAATATGCTAATATTTGGTTTGTACCCTATGTAGATTCCATTTCTTAATCCAATAGGACCTAGAGACTGTGCTCCTGTCTAGTATATACCTGAAAGCATTTAGGGGAAATATTGAGAAATCTATGCTTAATTGGAAACTTAAAGACAAACTCAAAAGCTAGGCATTAAAGTACTAGAAAACTCCAGAGAAATACAGTATTTTTTTCAGATGTTTTCTGGAGAAATTGGACAATTTCCTTCTTTTAATTTTATTTTTGCCTTAAGTTTATTGCTATTTTTTAAATAAAAACTCGGACTGTGAGAAAATAGACTCTGTGTGTAGCTTGTGTAATCTGTCTTGGGTGATTAATGATTCATTTTTTTTTTTAGAAAACAATGTTTCAGTTTCATTTCTGGAACCAAATTCTTAATGCTTTCTTCAGGGCTTAATATCAGTGCCTCATCATTTGAAATTGTCAGGGAGGCCAATGGTTTAGTTCTTCTTTGGAATCAAGCACTGTCTTTGCACTCTCTATAATCTGTGTAATTGAGGAACTAGGTCTCAATCCTGTGTGGAGTGAGAGTTTCTTTGACTTCATCATCGTACAATGTTGTGGTAACTATTAAATGAATTAGGAAGTATTTTAAAATAATTGGATATCAGTTCTAGGTATTGACATGAAATAGTTGAAATCAGTTTGTTGAAGAGATATTTGCACTCCCAGAGGTATTTGCACTCAATCTAAGTGTCCATTCTCAGCTAAAGGGAAAAGGATAAGGAAAAGTGAGATGTGTATGCACAATGGAGTACTGTTCAGCTCTAAGAAATAAATTTTGGCATTTGTAACATCATGAATGTAAGCTGATAACATTATTCTAAATAAATTGAACTGTTAGAAGCAAAGAGTAGAATGGTGGTTGCCAGAGGAAGAGGGGTAGGAAAAACAAGAAGGAGATAGTCACCTGTAATAAGTCTCAGGAGGAATAAGGGTTTTTCTTTTCCTTTAAGATATATTATACAATGTGATGAATATAGTAAATACTAATATATATTTCAAAATTTCTGAGAATTAATTTCAAATGTTCTTACCATAAAAATGATAAATATTTGAGGTGTGGATATTACCTTAATTAGCTCAATTTAATGATTTTACATTATATTTCCTGAACTATACCTTTGTACCTGTAAACATGGAGGTATAATTTTGTGAACTTATCATTAAAAATTTTAAATAAATCAGATAAATAGATAATATAGATGTGGCTTACCAACTTGGAAAGAATTTTAATGAATGAAATTCCCTAAAAGTAAAAAAAAAAAAAAAAAAAAAAAAAAAAAAATCTTTAATATAAAATAAAGTACCTTATGTTTTAGAAGGAAATTCATAGTCTCCTTTTTTTTCAGAATCATTAACTTTACTGTACTGTTAGATGTAACAACAAATTAAACTGAATCTTTGCTATGTCCCTCATTTCTCAAATTAGGTTTCAATTTGACATTAGGTTTAGTCCTGTATCAAAAGTTATGTAGCTGCTTTTCTACTAGGCCTGGATGATTTTTAATCCTTTTAATCATTATATAAATATTTACATTTAAAATAGCCTATATACTTATTTCTTCATGTAAAATTATTGTCTACTGAGTCTTATTTTTTACCTGAGAGTAACTGGGGTTCTTCACTTGGATTACAATTTTTAAATATGTTCTCTTGTTTTTGTGATTTAAATGATGTGTCACATCACCTCTTTTTTTTAAAAAAAAAAAAAAAAGTTGCAACTAAAATCCTCAATATTAATTAAACTGTTTGGTTGTGACATGCAGCCCATTCATATTTGAAGTACTTGTGGTTGCTTTCATGGCATCCATATATCCATCAAAGTGTAGATTAACTGAACATTTTCTTTTTTAAACCTCAATTAGTTTGCTAAAAAGAAGCATTAAAAGTCTACCTTTTCACACAGGTGCACAAATTAATTTTTTTTCATGAATCAGGATCAGTTTGATTTATTTTCTAAGCACTTTGGAAGCCTGGTAGGAGGGTGCTTGTCCCGTGTCAAGGCTAACTGCCAAGACTTTGCTGATCGTCAGGTGTCTGTTGTATAGAGCTAATGCGTGTTCCCTCTGCTGTCTGACATTTTCCTTCCACATGTTTTCCTTTTTTTTCTTTACTCCACTTGAAAACCAAACTGGCTAAGTGAATTTTTTAACACTTTGGGTCTTTATTGATCTTCCAAATATACATTGGGAAAAATACTCATCATTTTTCTTAAATTGAAGGTGGTAGTATTTCTGTGACCTATGAATTAGCTCAAGATTCCATGATTAAATGCTTTAGACATGGTGGCTTAAACAACAGAAATTTATTTTCTCTCAAATTCTCGAATGTGGAAATTTGAGCTCAGGGTTCCATTCTAGCAGGGTCATTCTCCTATGAAGGTCTCTTCCTGGCTTGCAGGTAGCAACCTTCACTCTGTACCCTCTTATGGTAGAGCATGATGTGATGTTTCTTCTTATAAGGACTCTAATCACATTTTGGGGTTTCTACTATCATGACCTCATCTAACCTTATTGTTTCCTAAGTCACCTACTTCCTGATACCCTCATATTGGGGGTTATTGCCTCCACATATCAATTTTTAAGAACACAATTCAGCTCACAGTAAGCAAAGACCGTGAATTGCAAATAGGGCTATAATATGGAATTTCAGGGGCACCATGGTGGGGATACAGAAATGGGGTAAGACCTCACGAGTTCTTGCTTTCCTCTCAGTTTTAACCAGAATATGTCTAAATGTTTTAAAGAAAAAAAATCTATTTAATGTTATGTCATTTGTGGAATGTGGGTAGAAAACTGAGCTGATGACATTGAGTTTACCGTAATACTTTTGTTCCTGTTCTGTCCTGGCAGGGCCTGGGCACTCTATGTGCTGATTGTCTTCCAGTGTTTCAGCAGTGTGACTGCTGGGGAGATCTTTGAGCTCCAGAAGAAACTGTTTAAGTGAGTAGCTCTCTGTTACAGAAAGGGACATTGGTAGCTGTTGGTCAGTCAGGTCACTTCCAGAATGAGGACAAGGATATGATCTTGGAGATTGCCATAACTTGTGTATACTTACCATGCACAGTGTGAACTTTGGAGATACAGCTTGGGATTACCAATATTAACTGAGAAAATGCACTTAGAGGAGAGTAAAAAAATCAAAAGTATGTGGAGCCAGACACTAAAGGAAAGAGAGTTTTTTGGTTTGATATGAGCAGCCAATCCCAATGCTGCATAAAAAGCAAACAATGAACAAAGTAAAAAGTATCTTTATATTTTAGGGAATAACAGGTAATTGTGACACTTGCAAAAAAAATTCAGGTGCTTGGAAGTAAGTGATGGTATCACCAGCAAATAAGAAATGGGAAATAAAATTGGCAAAGAATGTGACTTAGTTTAGCCCTCAGTGGATGGAGGAGTAGAAAGACTCAGAGGGCAGCCTTACAGTAAGAAGCAGACTGATTTTGTCTCTTTTATTTTTCAAAAATGAAAGAGATTTGCCTATACTTATATGCCAAGGATAGGAATCCTCAGAGATGGAAGAAATAAGGACACTGATAGAAGCATTTGGAATTATGGGAGAAAGATGTTAGGAAGAGGAAAGTTGAGGATTTGGTAGCTGACATGCCTGCTTGTTGGAGGTGTGATCATTGAGAAGAAGGCTTTTTCTGCTTTTAACCTGAGAATAGAAATAAAGAGTTTTAAAAAGTCTTCAGGTGCATTGGGGCCTTTACACTCAAAGTGGGGAGAAGAGAAGCTTCTGTAACACTGGGATTAGCTCCTCAAGTGCCACTTCTCAGGCATAGCCAGCCTCAGAAGAGAAACAGAGTCTCTGAGGAGAGTGAGGAGGTGCAGACTCTATCCCTGGAGGTTTGATATGGGCCAGAGTGGGTGGCAGCAGGAGGGGCGCTTCATGAGACAGGGGCACAGCAAGAGTATTGGGGGCTGATGCCCCAGGGAGGCTGTAGGTGGAGAAGGGTGTGGGAAATCAGACTAGATCCTGTGGGCAGCTGCAGTGTCAGATCTGGTGGCAGCAGGAGTCTGCAGAGCAGCACCTCTTCTGGGCTGAGTCTTCTTGAACTAATCTGGGTTGTGTGGCAAGCTTTTTCTTTCCTCCCCAGACATGAGCACATCAGTGGATACTACAGAGTGTTGCCTTATTTCTTTGGAGAACTGTTAGCTGAATTAATACCCAGGAGGTTGTTTCCAACTATTATATTTACTTCTATACTATACTTCATGTTACGTAAGTAGCAAGATGAAGAAGATGTGTCTTTAGTCTTGAATATGAGGTGATGCTCATTTCTCTCTGTGAGCAGGTTCATGGTTATTAAAACTACAAACCAAGCTGTATGTAAGCTATGGAAGAACATGTACACATTGTTCACTCTCTAAAATAACTGTTTATCAATGGCATTGTTGTCAAGTTGTTTTCCCAACCAATTTTTTTTTAATTGCTACTAGGACTTGAACCTGTAGTGTGAATATGAGAGGCAATTGCTATACCACTCCACTACATCACCAGCCATTTCATTTTTATTTTGTTTAGAGATGGAGTCCTGATAAATTGCCCAGGCCTACTTTGAACTTGGGATCCTCCTGCCCCAGCTTCCCAGACACTTGGGATTGCAAGTATGCACCCTATGATTGGGCCAGCCAAATTTAAAACTATTTATAAAACTGCAGTTTACTGAGAGATATGTCATATACAAATATGAAATAAATTTATAAAACTATTTGTGGCTATGCCAGAGGAGCTAAGATATGGCTTATCTATCAACATTTTCTCTGTATCTGCATATATCTCTGTAGAGATAAAATACAGATTGGTAATATCCTTATGTAAAGGGATATAATGGGAGGAATTAAAAAATCAATATACACACATATTCTTTCTCTCTCTTCTTCTCTAGTCATAGAAACAAAGTTGGTAACTTTGGTGTTTATTCATTTAATAAAAATACGTATTTGATGGCTGTAGACAGATTCCTTTGTGCATTAGGCTCAGGCTTCACTTCAGGTACTATATCAGAATTTCCACCACCCCCTTACACACACACACACACACACACACACACACACACACACAAGAAATATCTGTTTGTGACAGCATACTACAGGATAAGAACCACTGATAGAGTTTAAGCCTTCCATTTAGAAAATCAGGTGTGTGATAAAGAATTCATCAGTCAAGGCATGGTGTGATTGGCCCTTATCCAGTCTTTTGTGCTAGTGTCCTAATCCCAGTGGCTTGGGAGGCTGAGGGAGGAGGATCATGAATTCAAAGCCAGCCTCAAGAAAACTGAGGAACTAAGCAACTCAGTGAGACCCTATATCTAAATAAAATAAACATAGGGCTGGGGATGTGGCTCAGTGGTGGAGTGCCACTGAGTTTAATCCTTGGTACCCCAGAAAAAGAAAAAAAAGAATTAATCATGAAATCTAGACCCGCAGGCTTCTGATCAGTGTTCTTGCAACTGTTCCAAAACCCTCAGATGGGATGACCCAGATAATTAGCTCAGTATAATTCATAGAGTACTTTAGGAAAATTAATTTAGCCCATTTTCAATCAGACCGTCTAGAAGGACTCAGGTTATGGGGGCATTTTTCCTTACCCCAGGTATTTTTTTAATGTTTTATTAGTACCTTATCATTATACATAATATTGCAGTTCATGTAGACATAATTATACAATCATAGAATTTAATTTGCTCTTGTTCAGTCCATACTACTTCCCCTTTTCCTCCCACTGTGGAATCATAGAATTCTGATCCCAGTTTCTTCACTAATGCATTTATAAAAAAACAATAAACAATGTGGAGATGTCAGTTTACTTGAATGTGCTCTTGAGAAATTTCCTATGACAGTAGAATTTGGTCCATTTGTGTTGCCTATATCTCTCTGGCTCAGCAACTCAGAAATTGTGCATTGTTTCACATAAAGGAGCATAGATGTTACATGGAAAAGTATTTTTGCAGTAAATGTAAAAAAAAAAGAAAATTGTGTGATAACTTCATGTGGTTACATGGAAGGAAACAATAATGATAGTTGTAGAGTAAGTGACATTTTTCATTCTGATATTAGTTTATCAGAATGTTTAGTGTTATTTGCAGAATAAACAATCTCAAATACAAGGTGACCTAGGAAGCTGGACTGACCCTTTCTTTTCCTTCTAAGTGTTGAAACCAGATGTGGGTGCTTTCTTCATGCTGATGTTTATTGTTTTGCTGGTGGCTTATGCCACTGGTACCATGGCACTTGTCCTGGGAGCAGGTGAGAAGACGATGGACCTAGAGACAATTTTTGTGAATGTCTATTTGGGGATTATGATGGTGAGTGTGAACTGTACTGCTTTGAGAGGGAATCTGTACCTTGTTCCTTCCTGCTTCTTCACTTGTCCTGTAAAACCTGCTTTTAGGACTTTGTACAGGACTCCAATGTTTTCTCGAGGCCATACAGTTGATATTAGAGAATGTGCTGCTTTCCTCCTGGCCTTTATCCAGTTTTTTGTGCTAGTATCCTAATTTTGTTACTATAACTTTTAACCATATACTCACTAATGAGCTTTTAAAAATACTTCTGGGTGACATATTATGAAACCTTGGTAAACTGGAAACTCAAAACCCATAAGAATTATGATTGGCCAATTCCCTCATTAGAACAACAAGTTCTGTGCCTGATCTTCATGATGGTGTTAGAGAATTACCAGCTCTGTAATCAGCAGAGATGATTTGTTGGATTATGTAGGCTTCAAGATAAAAGTGAAGATCCTTGAGGAGTTTAACAGTGTGTGGCATGAGAAATCTAACTGGAGTACCTCTTATATTTTGAAAAGAAGTATTGAAAGCACTGGAAAATCCAAAGTCCACAGTGCTAGTTTCCCTCCCTTGTGGGTTCCTGGATGATCTATATCAACATATTTCTGTACATCTTTTGATTGTTTTTAATGTTTACTTAGTTTTAATCTTATATGCCTTAAATTTTGCACTCAATATGATGAATCAGCATATAATTAGTTACCAACCTTCTTCCAATTGCATCAACGATTAATACACACATCTTTTCTGTTACAGTAGGAGGAGATATCTTCCAATGATACATATTTAGCATAATCTTGTGCCAAAGTTTAATTCTTCCATTTATGAATTTGGCAACTACAATGTACATCATTGAGAAAGGGATAAATCTTGATTACAGTTTCTACACTGTCATACTGCAAATAATACCTCATTCAATAAATGAAGAAGTTTTGTTTGATTTGATGCTTTGACTAATTGTTGTGTAAAGAATTCTATATGGAAATTAAAAAATCAGTCATAAAACCACATTTAACTCAGAGATGCTGACTTATATGCTAAAAACTTAGTTAGGTCCAGTCTAAACATATATGCAGACACACTTCTACATAGTCATTGTTCTGCATATCCCAGTGCACTTCATACCAGTTAGGATAAGTGTTATGTGAACCTCATAGCTGTCTCTTGTTTATCTCTAGCAGTTTTTCCTGGCATTTCCACCATGAGACTGTTTTATGGTAGCTTAAAATGGAAGTATTGACTGCATGTTCTGCTGAACTTCAGCATGTTACTCTTTCTTTTTTTTTCTTTTTTTTTAAGTGTTAGGCCTTTGGAGTATTTATGCAAGCATTTTGAATCCTAAATAATTCCTATAGCACGGGCACAAAATGCAAACCCTTGTAAAAGATAAATCTTATTATTGTGTAGAAGTAGAGAGGAGCATGTGATGCTCAGGATTCTTCTGGTTTTTGTTCTAGATGTTCAGGTTCATGAAGGGGGAAGATAATGGTGGTACAATTTAAGTTGTCAGTATCATCAGCCTTTCACGTCCATGGGTTCCACATCCAAAGGTTCAACAAATCATTAATCAGAATTTTTCAATACAAAACATGTCTCTGAATATATACACTTTTTCTTTTCTTGTCATTGGTTCCAACACTATAAAGTATATTTTTTTTCCTTGATGGTTGACTTGTATTATGTATCAAAAGAAATATGTAAATGATTTAAAATATACAGAATGTGCGTATTTAAACATAAAAGATATGCAGGGTTCTATGCAAAGGTTATGCTATTTTAGTAATAAGAGATAAAAGCATTGTCAGATTTTGATATCTGTGGATGGGACTTGCTGGGGGCTCCTGGAACCAATTCTTTTTGGATACAAAGGGATGAACTTACTACTTAATATTCCTTTGTATACAGTTGCATAGAAATTTAAGGACAGAGTCTTGATAATAAAGAATCTCCTGAAATAAGCGGAATATGTAATATAGATTACAGGTATATTGTTCTTCACAAAATATCACAAACTGCCTTAGCTATACAGAGGTATATACATGTAAAGGACCAAAATCAGTATTTAAGAGTAAGTGGAAGATATTTCAAGAAAGAGTAGGTCCTAGCAGAAATGTTTAAAAGGTTGTAGAGTTCTTGTGTAGGGTCTTATCTAGAGTTCCTCATAAAAACACTGAACTGATTGACACTTGGTTTTGCTTTTTGTAGGTTTTGTTGGGTATTTCAGTGAATTTTGGAACCATGACACCTTGGCTATCCTGGCTTGAATACTTGAGTATTCCTCATTATGGGTATACGGTAAAATGTTCTTATCTGCCATTGTGACAGAGTTCCCAAAGTGAGAACAATGAAAATAAAACCAAATCTATGGCTATGGACTATGAACCTGTCCCATCCAGGAATTGTCTTTCAGGGAGGCACCTGGGGTTTTCCCAGTTTTTTCACTGTTTGAGGTAGATGAAGTGTGGGGAGAAATCTAGTAAATAGAAAAAAATGACTAATAAATGAAATAGATATTTTGTTTTTTAGTCCAATAAGGGAATCATTAGGAGGAAGGGAGACTGGGGCACATTGTTAATAATGAAAGCTGAATTTAAAGAGAATAAGAAGACTGTCTAATACCCAGAGCCATATTGGCAAGTTAATCAGCTCCAAAGGAAGCTGTTGTCTCAATACAGTATAACCAAATTTCTAACTCCCATAATTACAACTAGTTTTTGATGAAAACAAATGAGGAAACATTGTTATTATAAACTGTCATTTATAATAACATTGTTATTATAAACTGACAATGTTCACTAAGCACTATCATATTATTTTAATTTTGGTTTTTATGGGATTATAAAATTGAAGGAGAAGAAGGAAGCTTGGCTTATCTAGCCAGAGATCTCCCTTTTTTACAATGAGAAGCAACATCCCAGACCTAGGCCTCTTGATTACCAGGGTAAATATATCAGCTGCTATGCTGTGAAAAAGGCTGTGAGTGTAAGACTTGGTATGTTTTTAGAAACAGCAATGGAGATTAAGCTTGAGGACATAATTGTGATAATTCTTTGGCAACTTTTTCTTTTTTCAGTAAGAGTTTAACCTAGAGTCCTGTGCATACTGGGCAAGCACCCTACTACTGAGCTACTTCCCCAGCACTTTTTATTTTTTAAGACAAGTCTCCTTACCTTGAGTTGCCCAGGTTATCTTGGAACTTGCCATCCTCCTGCCTGAGTTTCCCCACCATCTGGGATTATGGGTATGCACTTCTGTACCTGGACACTTTTGAAATTCACAACCTTTTATCTTGTATTGTCCCCCTTATATAGGCTTTGCAGCATAATGAATTTTTGGGACAAAACTTCTGTCCAGAACTCAGTGCAACAGAAAGCAGTGGCTGTGCCAGCTATGTGATGTAAGTTTCCATTCCGTGTCATAATGAGAATTCTTACCCCTATGATAAGATATAGAAAGTGCCCTGGGTTTAGAGCCCAAGCTCAATGAATCTTTCTGAATGTAAGTTTTCCCACTCATAAAGTGAGACCTTGTATACTAGTACATGTGAACATGCTGTACTTGTATTCCACTACAGTCAATGTTGTATTAAATATGGAGAAATGTTTGTTTTCCCCCTTTTGAAAAATTATTTTAATGTTTTGATTGTGAGATTGAATTCTTATTTTTCAGAACATTTGAAGTTGAAATGGGTGTTTCAATAATTTAGCAAGGGTTCATAATCTCTGGACTGAATGGATTATATAGTATCTATGAGCCTAGCCTGTGGATAGCAGTAAGAACTAACAGGGCAGTGATAGCATCAAGGGAATGAACATTGTCCCCCAGGTCCTGGCTCTTCCCTTTGTTCACATATGTTGGAGCTGTCGTGAAATCAAAGGCTGCTCAGTTTTTGTTTTTGTTTATCTCTCTCTCTCTCTCTCTCTCTCTCTCTCTCTCTCTCTGTGTGTGTGTGTGTGTGTGTGTGTGTGTGTGTAAACTGAATACTACCTATCAAAGGAAATACCCTTTAAAGAAAAAAAAAATATTATTTCAGTAAATTGAGAAGGAAGTCTTATTTTCATATAATGTCATTAATAAAATTAAAGGATCTTGCTTTAAATTTTTGATAATGCTTACTTTTTCAATGATTGAAAATGATTTGACTTTGATGCTTAAGTTAACAAAAGAGAGAGAGAATGAGAATGCTAGAATACTAAAACACTCCTGGATATTTCAAATAGTATAGAAATAATTCTATACCAACCAGAAAATCTGTGAAGAGGACTTTCCCTTACCTTTCTACTCTCTTTTGTTTGATCTGCGCATGGCATTTTTGTAACACAAAATTGGTGCAAGGCTGCTTGTCAGAATAAAGTATACAGGGAAAGTGGGAACAAATAAGGAAGAGCCACCACAGGCTTCATGCTTACATGGACCCTATCCTCACAAGAGGAAGGATGAAGCTCCTCTTACAGCAAAGAGAGGGCACAGATGTTTTTATAACTGCTAAATTCCAAGACATGGAACAATAGCACATAAATGGCAGCAGGTGATTGTTGTAGCTACACTAGGCATTTTTAGTATCACATGCTTTTCTACCAGTGGCAGGAATGGTGCTTCCTGCTGTGCTCCAGCTGGTACTTCAGCCCTAAGTCTGATTCCTGGGACTGCAGGTGACATTCTGGAGCTAAATATCTGTGATGCTCTTCACAGTCTTGGTCAAAGAGCCAACAGACATGACTCTGGCTGGAAACTCTTGCTTCCCCTTTGTCCTAGTTTTACAATGCTTAGCCTATGTTTTTAGGATGGCTGTCTTGTGGGTGAGCAGAACTGTGTGGAGCTTTGATCATCTTAGCAAGGGCCATAGGTGTCATTAGGTAAAACTGAAGGTGTCCCATTAGAAGTAAGTGAAAGTGTATCAGATGGGATATTTCCTTTGAAGACAGCAGTACTATAGATTTGTAAATAAAAGAGGCTAGAAATTTGCTCCACAGTGTATATCTGTAGGCTTGGTCAAGTTGTTAAGTCTACTCCCCTCCTCTTTTAAATGTGTATATCTATATCCCCTTGGATTGTTTTAAGATGTAACTAAACTATTAGGTGCAAGTTGCTTAGCATAGTAGCAAAATTTAAGCACTCAATGACTTTAAGCTATTATATATGAAAGGCTAACTCCTAATGATTTTGGTTAAACTATAGGTTTCTTTAACAAAAGAAAAGGGAATGTATTCAGTAAAATTTGACAGATGCTAGGAATTTAGTTTTTTTTTTTTTCTTGAAGTTCAGATGTACTGGTGAAGAATTCTTGACAATCCAAGGCATTGATATCTCACTTTGGGGCTTATGGAAGAATCCCCTGAGTTTGACTTGTATGATTATTATCTTCCTCACAATTACCTACTTAAAACTGGTATTTCTTTAAAAATATCCTTAAATTCCCCTTTAATTTACTATGAATTACCCTTCTTCAAAAGGATTGATTTTAAGTATGTGATGAAGACTTTTTGTGGTCTTGTGGTCAGCTGCCATTACACTGTTATATAGCAACAATTATTTTCAATAGAAACATTCAGAAAAATCCAATAGACTGCATTATACACAAAAGAACCCAAGTCAAAAATTACTAATATTATGCATTGCATACTAATTCATCTCTACAGACCAGGAAGAAAAAACATAGTCTATTTTATTGAAAAAAAAGGAAAATTGAATTCTAGAAATGCTTGTCAGGTTACTAATGCCTCTGGTATCAGTATTCTGATCTTCAAAATGAATAAGCCAGTTGATAGTCCTCCAGTTTTAATAGGCTATGAATCTCTAATCTGCCATTGTTTAGTAACAGATGTATGAATGCTTTGTGGGAAGTATTAAATCTAAAATATGTTAGAAAAACCAGTATTATTTTGGGATAAGAAAAGTCATGATGACTGAAAAACATGTCTTTGATAAGCCTATTGAGGTTGATGGTATTTACTGATACTTACCTAATGGAATTGTTAGAGCTTAGGAGTCTTGGCTGGGTGCTTTGGGCTACAGGTGGTAGAGGACCAGGGGTCTGGAGACATGACTCTTGTGTCATTTCTGGGATATTCTGCTCTGAAGTCACTTCACTTCCTGGCATGGTTCAGTGGTGTATAATCAGGTTGCATCCAAATCTCCTGTGTAGACTTGCTATGCTACATGTCTGGCCCTGCCTGGCCCACCACAGCAGCACCTGAAGAGACATCTCCCTGAAGAACTCACCAGACCCAGATTTTATCATATCCAAGGTCCTCTCAGCTCTGAAAACGTTACACTTGTGGTTTAATAAGTTGTACTTAGATAAGTATACAAGGTCCCCCCCATCTACACAAGGTCCCCCTGCCACTTGTATATCTCATTTATCTCCCCAAGCTGCCTTTACCAGGAATGAGGAAGTATTTACCAGTATTATGAAAATGTTTTTATACAGGAAAGGTATTTATTTTTGTATACTGACTTTGGAACCTGCTATTTGGCCAAATTTGTTACCTCTAGCAGTCGTTTGATGGAGTTTTTGGATCTTCTAGTTATAGTATCATACCACCTACAAACAGTGATATTTTAACTTCTTTCTTTCTTAGTTTTATCACTTTTATTTCCTTCTCTTGCCAAATTTCTCTGGCTAGGCTAGAATGTCTAGCACTATATCAAATAGGAGTGGTGAGAGTGGACATTCTTGTATGGTGCCAGACTTTATAGGAAATGCTTTTAAGTTTTCCCCATTTACTATGAGGTTGCATTTGAATTTTTCAAAGATAGGCTTTGATATTGAGGTAGGTTCCTTTGATCCTTATATTCTTCAATGTGTTTATCATGAATGGGTGCTGAATTGTGTTAAGGGCCTTCTCTACATCTATTGAGTTCTTCATGGAGATGGCATCCTTGCATCTCTAGAATAAAAATAACTTGATCATGGTGTACAATTAATATGTTGAACACAATGTGCTAATGTTTTATTAAGTATTGCTGCATCTAAGTTCACAGAGATATTGGTCTATAGTTTTCTTGGCTTGATGTGTCCTTATCTAGTTTTGGTATGAGTAAGAGACTAGCTTCATAGAATGAAATCAGAAGTGTTTCATCACTTCTATTTTATGCAATAATTTGAGGAATATTGGCATAAGTTATTCAAAGATTTGGTAGAATTCAATCTTTCATTTATAGGATCATACCATCTACAAACAATGGTAGAATCCATGTGGTCCTGAGCTTTCTTTGTTGGAAAGCTTTTTATTAGTACTTCTATCTTATTACAGGTTATTGGTCTGTTTAGGTTTTCTATGTCCTCTTGATTCAGTTTTGGCACATTGTATTTGTTTAGAAATGTATTCATTTATAATTTTCAGTTAGAGTATATAGTTTCAAAATAGTCTCTAATGATTTGCTAGATTTCTGAAAAGTTTATAGTGATTTCTCCTTTTTATCTCTGATTTTATTAATTTAGGTTTTCTCTGTTTTCCTTTTGGTTAGTTTGGCTAAGGGCTTATCAATCTTATTTAGCTTTTCAAAGAATAGATTTTTTTATATTGATCCTTTGTATGTTTTTTTTATTCTCAAGTTCATTGATTTTGGCTCTTACCTTAATTTATTTCCTTCCTTCTACTGTTTTTGGAATTGGTGTTTTCTTCTACAGTCTCTCTAGGCTTTTGTCATGTGTATTTCTAATTTCATTCCATTATAATCTGATAAGATGCAAAAATATATCAAAGTTGTTTTTGTATTGCTGAGATTTGCTTGGTGGCCTAAAATGTAGTCTACTTTGGACAAGATTCCCTAAGCTTCTGAAAAGAAACTGTATTTAGCTGTTGTTGAATGAAATATTCTATAGATGATCTGTTAGGTTCATCTGTTAGATCCATTGAAATATTCTGTAGATGATCTGTTAGGTCCAAAGAGTCTTACTGAGTTAATATATGAATGACCTATCTAATTGGGAGAGAGGTGTGTTCAAATCACCAAGTATTATGATATGAGATCCATCTGGGGCTTCAATTTCAGTGGTGTCTTTTCTGTCTAACTAGTTGCACCCACATTTTGCATATAAATATTTATTTTTATTAGATCTTGTTGGATTGTTATTTTTATTAATAAAAAGTGACATTCTTTGTCTCTTCTAATTAATTTTGTGGTAAAATCTGGTTTGTCAGATATGAGAGTATCCACTTCTACTTGTTTTTGGATTCCATTTGCATGGTATATCAAGTTCCATTTTTTTTGTTATGGCTATTTTTGCCCGTAAGGGACAGATCTTGCAAGCAACACTTTAATCTGTTTCCCCAACTTGTGTCTTTTAATTGCAGAGTTGAAACCATTTACATTCAGTGTTATTGTACAGAGATGTTTATTAATTCCTTCCATTTTGATTTATCTCTATGTTTAATTTGGTCCCATTTCTCCTTCACTAAACTATTCAGTGAGATTTGTTCTTTTGTGAGCTCTGAGGCTTGTTTTTTATTACTTCTATGTGGAGTATTTCCTTAAGTAAGTTCTGTAGTGCTGGATTTTGTAGTCAGGAATTCTTTTACTTTTGTCTTTGATTTGGAATAGTACTTTTGCTGGATATAGAAGTCTTGGTTTGTAGTTATATTCTTTAAGACTTGGAACATATTCCAACATATTGTTCCAAGTTTGAGTGGTTTATTTTTGTTAATGGAACACAATAAACCACAGAATAAATGAATGCTAGTTGCTATTTATACTTCAGGTACTCTTGTCAGGTTATCAAGCATGACTTCAAGAAAACTGAGGCCATGGAAGATTCCATTATAGAGAGAGTGCTGAGAAATCAGAAGTGATTCTGATAGATTTGCATCCAAATGTGGTGTGACATTTTCCTCTTGAAGCTTTTATAAGTCTATCCTTGTTTTGTGCATTAGGCATTTTTATTATAATGTGTCATAGAGGGGTTGTTATTTTTTTAAATCTTTTCTACATGTCTCCTGTAGCTGGATGTGCATCTCACTTTGAAGGTTTGGAAATTTTTCTTTTATTATTTCCATAAAATCTTTATTTATTCCAATAGCCTGCATCTCACAGTACTCCTCAGTTCCAGTGATTCTTAAATTTGGTTTCTTCATGTTTTCCTAGAGTTCTCGTATATTCTGATCATAGTTACTTTTTTTGTTTTTCTATAATGCTGTCTGAATGTTGAAGGCTGGCCACTTTGTCTTCTAACTTTGATATTGTGTCTTCAGCATGTTCTACACTATTAGAGAGGCTTTCAACTGCACACAATATATAATTTATCGTTTCTTTTATTTCTAAGATTTCTGTTTGGTTGTTTTTCAAAAATTCTATCCCCTTATTAAATTTCTCATTCATATTCTGTACTGGCTTCCTTCATTTCTTCAATTGTTTTTCCGTGTTTTCTTGGAATTCATTGATCATTTTTATAATTATTCTCTTAAATTTATCATCTGATATGTCATCCACTTTAATATCTTTGGGGTCAGTTGCTGAACTTTAGGGGTATTGTGTTAGTTTGTTTTTCATATTTCTTGTTTTCTTGTGTTAGGCTTACATCTGTTGTGAGATACTCTTTAGGACCATTCTTCACTTGCCAAAGTATCCTAGACTGATACATATTAAGATCCCCATAGGTATTGTATCCACTACCTTTGTGTTCTTTCTCTTTTGTTCTGTAGCAGTGCATATCTACCAATTTTACTGGTTTTGACTCAGTCTTTTAATATATAATCATGCCTCACTCACAGATACCTATGTTCAAACATCTTCAGTAGAGAGAAATATGCTTACTAGAAATATTCACAAAATATGCCTACTTGAAAAAACAAAATTATTAATGCTATGTTTTCAATTAATAAGAATGTAAACATATTCTTTTATATTTGTCCTCTTTTATTTTAATTTTGCCTTTTTATATTTTTATTGTATTAAAATACATAATAAAATTAGTTACAACAACATTTTTTAAAGTATGAGTTTATTTTTCATAAGATAAATAACAAAATGTTACTTCTTGAAAAGTTACTTAAGAATGCATATATTCTTATAAATATTTTTGACATTTTATTAGATGTAAGATTTAATATGGAATGCATGGGCCAGTTGATTTTGTTAATGGAACACAATAAACCACAGAATAAATGAATGCTAGTTGCTATTTATAGTTCAGGTACTCTTGTCAGGTTATCAAGCATGACTTCAAGAAAACTGAGGCCATGGAAGATTCCTTGTGTGTTGGGGGTGAGACGGAAGAAGGGGAAAAATTTCTGAAGAGAGATATTTGGAAAAATGATGTTGAAAAGTAAATATATATACCTCTTTCCTTGTCTTTGAATTCATCCTCCACGATCTTTAAGTTTTAATTTTATTAACATTTATTGCATCCATAGATGTAAAAAGTAGCAACACTCATTTATGAAATATCTTTGGCCTACTCCAGTGCTTGTTCAATGGTATTTATAACAGAATGTCAAGGTGGCAGGAATGGAACTTTCACAGGTACTATGATGCTGGGCTCTCACCAAGGTTGATATACTCATGACCACATCTGATGCTTGAGCTTGAAATAGCAGGGGGTAACACCAAGTTCTTAGTATAATCCTGACCTTTGGAGACCAGATTATCTTTCAACTTGGTGGCAAGTTGATTATATGCAATAACAGAATTTTTTCTTATATGTATATATTTTTTCTTATATGTATATGTATAGACGATCTTGGGCATTAGATACTTATGGAGGTATTACCTTTCCAAAAATGTTTTTGTATTGTCTGCAATAGCAAAATGGTTTTGATAAAGAACATTGAAACCTACAAAGCCTAAAATATTTAAAATCTGTTTATATAAGCTTGTAGGCCTCTACATTAAATCAATAGTTTTTTTTTCCAATAGTTGGAATACTCAGGTTGATGAATCAAGCAATATTTCCCTCTCATAATATTATTTCCATTAACATTCCACACTATTATAATTTTTATAACTTATACTTGTGTCTCTGTAGATTTAGGACCTCCTGTATTAGGGGTTCTGAATTCTAAAGAGTCAGGGGACAGGGACACCTGGAAATAAAGGAGAGGTTCTATGGAATCTGACAGTGTCTGTCACTTAGTCACTTTGAGATTTCCATACTGCTAGAACAGCAGCAAAAAAAAAAAAAAGAACTTATAATACTGGTCATCCCTGTCACCTGAAAGGCTCTAGTTACGGTTACACAATGGATAGAGTTTGTAGAGGAAACTTGTTCCTCATGCTGGTAGGGGCATATGAGCTTAGACTCTAAGCCCTTAGGTTTAAAGGTATGGATCACTGTGCCAGGCAAGCAACTTAGTAGAGCTGAAGTACTGGCAAAGAATGAGGACCTTCTAGAAAGAAAGGCGTGGGAGAGAAGAGTTGTGATCAGAGCCTGTCACTAGCAGCAACAATAGAAACCATCTAGTTCCATAAACCCTCTGTGCTATTTTCTATAAATTACAATTAGTGTCTCAAATATTGCAGAAAGGACTTAACATAATCGAGTGGTCTGAATGATGTCAGGGGTGGGAAAAAGTTAGTACTGTTGGTACTGTCATATCTCCTCTGGACACCTCCACTTTTGGTTGCAACTGTGGTGGGCAGTTCCATGTGGGCTGAGCTCATTCTGACACTATCTCTCCTTAAGCCTGAACCACACCACTTTTCTACTTTTCTCCTTTCAGGCCTTCTCCAAATCTAAAGGAAGCTAACTCTTGTGCAAGTAGCTGGAAATTGCAGGAATAAAACTCCATGAGAATCCACAATAAACAGGAATCAGGCCAGAGAGAAATACCCAAACCTCTTGTTTTTCAGATGGAAATATGCGAGACATTCCTTCTTGGAAGGAAAGCAAAAGGCGAAAGAAGCAAGATGCAGAGGCAGCAAAGACTAAGTGGTAAAAGGGCTGCTTGTCTGAGCTGCTGGCTTTATTTATATCAATATGTTACATTTGATCACAGTATAAGATGTTTTGCTTTCATTAGACATGTGCTCTGGCCAAGCACACATTGGTTATCTCAAGAGTACCTGGGAAAGACTGCAAAATATTCCAACCATGGGAAAGAGAGCACCTGTTACCTCTCAGAAGTTTGCTCACCAGAGGAATGCTGACTGATATATTTCCATGGTCAGAACTCTACAGCTCCCCTTTTTTGTTGTATGGCCTTTGGGATAAATAACACTTGTTTTCTCTTTAGTATTGGTGGAGGCAAAAAATAGGGTAGGGATTGACAGCAATAAGCACAACAATCCTAGTATTAGTAAATACCCACTTATGAATAGTTGTTTAATCTAATAAAATTGGGTAACCATGAAGCTACCAGTCCAATAAATTTAAGCTTCCATCATCTTGTTGGATCTTTTCAATGAAGTTTTTAAGGTAATTTAAGTCCTTTGAAATAGATTTACTATTTTCACTTAGGTTAAAGCAACACATATTGTTAAACTCACTACAGCCTCTATGAAGTAACAATAACAAATAATCAATTGCAGCACAAGTGTCAAAAATGGCTTGACAGTATTGTTTTTGCTCTTCATTTAACATGGTGATTGTCCTAGACATATGATTGACATTTTCTACCATAACACAGGCCAATTTCATGAATGTTTTGTAAGCCTCAACAGCCAGTCCAGGGATGCCCAACATGGAAAATGTCAAAGCACCAAATTCTGTCTTAGAGAGAAGCCTTACTGAATCATCACAATTTTTATTAAAGGGAATATTCTTTTTTGGATGTGTTGTGCAGGATGGTGGCCTATCAAATCCTGTGAGTATGGCAGAAACACAATCAATCTGCTAAGCAACAATGGGTAACATGAGACTTATTAGCAGGGATATAATTGAAGGTATATATTCCACAAGAACCATCCTGGTGGTAAGGGTATATATGTATGTATGTATGTATGTATGTATGTATGTATGTATGGTAAGGTATGTATGGATATGACATATCTATACATATTGAGCTCCACCTTGGTACAGTTAAATGGGGCTTTCCCAAAGAAACACATTTGCATATACAGTTGTGAAACTCAGCACAAGTGTCAGTTGCAATTAAGGCAACAGTGGGTGTAAGTAACTTCATAGCATGGAAGGCTTGGCATGTTGAGGGCTTCCCAAATTATAAGAATCTCTGTAGGATATGAGCTTTAGAATACCTATTTTGGAGGACATTGTCATATTCATAATTTTTTTGTGCAGAGCAGCACACAGGAAGAAGATAGGAGCCCAATATACTTTCCACATAATGTCTTGGTGAACACAAATCTCAGATTAATTAACAATTTCAGCTGGGTGAACCCAGATATTATAGTGGGCTCTAGACATTAAAGAGTCTGATTTTACTGAATTTACCACAGCTAGAGTATATACAACAGCAAAACAACATTATAATAAGGATCAAAACATTCACAGAGTTTTGTGTAAGTTTAGAAAAAAAAAAAAAAAACAGTAACCAAATTTTTCAGAGTACATTCCAACCCCATTTGAGTCAAAAGCTTTTGGGCTGAGACTATTAATGATTTTCTATCCCTCCAAGTCACTGGAGGTTGAGTATCTCAGGGTCCTTTTCTAGTGTTCCTTCTCTTTCGAGGAGAATGATTATCATTTTGTTTGGTGGAATCCTCCTCCTCCAAGGTCAAATGAAACATGGGAATCAGGTTGTGAAGTCTCTGATGCCAATCATGATTGACGGGTCTCATACATGAGGCTGGAATCCAAACAGGACCTATTGGTGTAAGCACAACAGCATATCCCTTTTTTCCCATGTTATCAGAAGCATAGGGTCTTGCCATCCTGCATTTGGTGAATCCCTGTATTTTACATAAATTTTTGGCAAAAGTTGTTTGGGAATAGAATGCCTATCCAAGGCAGATGACCAATTGTGAGTATGATCTTTGTTTTGCATGTTGAGTGCATTACCTGTAAATAAAGCAATATTTAAGAAATTATTAACATGAGAGAGGCTAGGTCCCATTTTTTGTTTCTGTTTTAAGAGTCATGCCATAAGGGTATGATGTGCTTTTTCAACCAAGTTTAGTCTGGTAATATTATGAGGAATTACATGGGTTAAAATTATATTTTAATGAGTAAAAAATTGTGCAAAAGACAGGATGTATATGTAGGGGAATTATCCATTTTTAAATGAACAGGCTTGCTCATAGTGGCAAAAGAGAGTAATTAAAAACACAATGTCACCATCCAAAATTGCAGGCCAAGGGGAGGCAACATTCTGTGTCACTGTGTGACCTGGGTCTCAACTAGAGCACAGGGCTCCAGGCCTCAGCATTAGAGCAAGACTCCCCTCCCAACTCCCAACACCCAACTCCCAACTACTAGCCCATGCAGGGCTTGCAGATGCCTTAGCAGGATCATGGCATCAGCACCAGTGCAGAACTCCCAGACACTGCTCTGCTCCCATGCAGGTCACTCAGCATCTGTCCACCCACAGGGACTCCGGCCACCTCTCCCCTGAGGACCCCCATCTACCAACATGGGGCTCCCCCAGTCACCTTCATCTTGCCATATGGCAGCCACTGCCATATTCCCCTACCTGCAGTAGTCCACCTGCACTTGGGGACATCTCACAGGCTCTGAAGACAGCCAAAATCACAATACTGCATGCCACAGAACTCATCTCTGAACACATTGTACAACACCACCACCTGGCTTCCCCCATCTGACCTGAAACTCTGGTGCTGAAAAGAGCCCGCTTCCATCTTGGGTCACCTTCCTTGCCATCTTTAGTGGGGGTAGCTCCAAGATTGGAACTCCAGCTGGCCAGGTATCTGGTTTCCAACTCCCTCCAATCCCCAGTGGCCAGTAACCTGGCATAATAACTGCCCAACACAAAACAGTTCTCAGTGGGACGGGTGCACAGTGTGACCAGGACACCATCCAACGGAGCCCATTGAGACAGTTTCCTTAATTGGGAATTATTAAGGCAGATGGAGAGGGTGCAACAGTTTGGAGACTAACAGAGAGACCAGAAACTGGGAAATCTTCAGACAAGAGGGGGAGATAGGACCAGGTACTCAAGACATACGAGCAGATTCAAAAAGAGACCCTTGAGGTTCAGTCTCCCTTCAGGGACTGGTGGGTGCCACAACTCATTTCCAGGTGCCCTACACCAGGACCAGCCTTCCCACCCTGATTACCTTCACCGTACTGAGGGCAGTGAGACCACCTAACAATAGACAAGCCCACCTATTGGATGATAAGGGAAGCAGGAAAGATACTAGTCTCCAACCCAAACAATTAACAATCTTGGTTTCTTACTTCCAGATTTACTTTCTCTCTTTTGCTTCCCCACCCCCACCCATTTACTGCCCTCAGATCCCCAACATACATGAAACTAAGAACTTTGAGGACTGAGCTATCTGAAAAGTATATTATACTTGTGTTGCATATTCTTTTTTTAAAACCATTTAAACATCCTTTATTTTTTTAATACATATGTGTGTTTGTTTTATGTACTCTATTGTCTTCCCACATATTTGTCTACCCCAAATTATTTCCTGTCTATTCTCTTGCTACTAACCCTCTTCATTAGACTTCTCTTTCATACTTTCTAAGATATACTAACTCTATATCCTCACATCCTGCCTCCTCATCATATCATCCTATGCCTCACCACTGAGGTTCATTGTTCACCATCAGAAACTGTAAATCCTTTTACAACCCTACTGATTATATTATAGATAATAATCAAACTCAACATTTCTGTACATTGTGACCAAACTGTAAATGTCTTAATAGCAACAAATTGCTTATAGGTGGTATATTGTTGATATTCGGATTTGTTAACATTGTCAATCCCTCAAAGGAGAGGTATTGGAACCCTAAAGGAGCACTATAATCCTGTAGGGTAAAAATGATAACACCTTGGACCCACAGCACTAGAAGGGAAGACACATGAGCAACATGAAAAGACCAGGGAAGAAAGTACCCCAAACAAAGATACCACATTTTTAGAATCCATGGCTAGCACAGTAGAAGAAATGACAAAGAAGGAGTTCAGGATGTACATAGTTAAAATGTTCTGTGAATTAAAGGATGATATAAGAGAGCAAATACAGGTAGCAAAAAATCATTTCGACAAAGAGCTACATAAACAAATATAGGATGCAAATGATACTTCAATGGAGAAAATAGAGGTTCTAAAAAACAAACAAACAAACAGAAACCCTTTAAATAGAAGAAACAATAATCCAAATTAAAAGTTCTATTGAAAACATTACCAACAGAGCAGACCACTTGGAAGACAGAACATCAGACAATAAAGACAAAATATATAATCTTGAAAATAATGTAGACCACACAGTGAAAATGGTAAGAAATAATGAGCAGAACATTAAAGAAATAAGGGACAACATAAAAAGACCAAATTAAGAGTTAATGAGATAGAGAAAGCATAGAATTCCAAACCAGAGGAATGAACAATCTATTCAATAAAATAATATCACAAAAATTTCCAAACATGAGGAATAATTTGGAAAAGCAAACTCAAAGAGGCTTACAGGATGACAAATGTACAAAATGCCCAACATATAGAATAAGGAGAGAATATGAAAGCCATGAGAGAAAGAAATCAGATTATATATAGGGAGAAACCAATTAGAACACCTGCAGATGTTTTAACCCAGACCCTGAAAGTTAGAAGATCCTGGAACAACATATATCAAGCTCTGGAAGAAACTGGATGCCACCAAGAATCTTGTATCCAGCAAAATATGATGGATACATCATCAGATATGATGATGAAATAAAAAGCCTTCCATGATTAAAAAAAGTTAAAAGAATTTACAGCTAGAAAACTGTCAATATAAAACATCCTTGGCAAAACATTCCATTAAGAGGAAACAAAAAACAACAATGAAAGTCAGCAGAGGGAAATA